TCTACAAAAGGTATTTTTCAGAGAACTTTACTGCAGCAATATCTCTTCTTAAGCCTGGGATTTTCCCAGCCATAGATTTATCTAAGGTATACCATCCTCCCAACTTTTTTTCCCCTTTTCCACAAAAGACTCACTTGAGTAGGGAGACATCTTCAAGCCTATCTTTCTCCTGTTAAGACTCATCCATTTGGCCAGTAAAATATCACTGGGTATTTAAAAAAAAAGAAAAACACTCCATCAGCAGGGGTTGAATTTGGGTCCTCTCAGGCAAAACACCTACCTACTCTAAGAGTGAAAGACTGATGCCTAAGCACTCAACTTGTACTGATTTCAATGGAAATTACATACTGAAATAAGCAGAACTACTGAGGAGGAGGCAGGCCATTGGACTCTATTTCATGAAGCTAGAGAGACACATTATGTCACACTACCTCCTAAAATACCCATGATAGCAATACCAGCTTATGACCTGGTTCCCTGGAAGTTATACTGATGTAAACAGGCGTTAGTTCCAAGTAGATCCTTCAAAATAGGACCTTATCTAAGTTCTAGTTTTCAGAGTCAATAATTTTTTGTTGGCCAGCACATATAGCACACCCTACACAGTGGATAACCCTATCTAGGCTCAGAGGAGAGAAAGGTGAATCAGGAGTAGATGTTTTAAAAGCAGAAGAGATGTTGGTCTCTGAGTATTTATTAATCAATATGTCTATTCTATAGTTGAGCATGGCTATGTTTATCTAGCATGGAAATTCTTGGCAGAGTTAGGATATTCATGTGCTGAAAATATGTTCCAGCCAGAGAAAATCCTTGATCATCTGACTCTCCAGCCACCACCAATCATCCCTAAGAAATCTCGGCAACATCAGTAGGACATTAGCACGCAGTGACAAGAAGAAGGTATGTTGAATACGATCCCAAGAGAAAGCAAAGAAGCTGCAACAACGAGTAAGAATAAACCAGAAATTGGAAACCAACCTTCTTTCAGACTGAGAGATGAATAAGGGTCTGCACAAGAACTGTTCTCCACTGGCTGCTGTTTTGAACGGGCCATTGCAATCAATGTAGGATCTTGTGATTCTGACCTCAGCTGTACATATGCCCCAAGAAGAAATCTTTCTGAATTTTTTTACTATACTTATTGCCTGATTCTTACCAGAAAAAGAAACACTATAAAATACTGCGTAAATCCTACAAATAAAACTTAGGTTTACCTGAACCTAAACCATGCGTAGAAAGGAGCATTCAGGTAACTGTTGGTTTGCAGAGCCATTGCCTTCCTTTGAAATGGCAGGCACAGTGCAATTCTTGATGGTGAACAGTCTCTTTTCTATATCTTTTCTTCTCTGCCAAAATAAAGAAGAAATGTTAATCCTGGAAGTTTTTGCAAACCAAAAACTGTTTCCCCAAATACTCTTTGCTGTTTTCTACCCTCCAAGAAGAACAACCCCAAAACCTCCAGGTTGAATCAAATCTATTCATTCTGATGATTTCAAAATACTCCATTTGCATTTTGAACACCTTAAGAATTTTTTCCCCACTCTACATATATGTAGCACTGAAAAGGAAGCATTGCCACAAACCAAAACAACCAAGCATTTAATTTCAAACAGAAGTTCTCAGTTACCTGTAGGTTAATCATTCAGGTTGCATGTGTGGTATAGCTGCAAAGTCACTTGAACAAGCTTTGTGTGGTCACGTGGTCCCTGTTCTATGCCAATTTTTCTTTTATGCCACATGTAAATCAAGAAAACAGACAGCTGTGTATACTGCAAAAAAAAAAAAATTCAACAATATTAGAAGAAAAAAAATATCTAACAAAGGTATGCCCATGAACACCATAAATTATGAGTCTCTTTTCCCAATGCTTTTAAGAACTGAACACCTCTGCCAGGCTGGGCTGAAACTAGGCAATAAGTTGAAAAGTTATTTGGAAAAACAGGCATGTAATCACACAATTGCTTAATTTCCCTTCCCTTGGGAAAGGGGACAAAAAAAATTAAGGACAGGAAGTCCCATGAAAATACTGTTTTACCTTCTTCAGTTTCAAAACACTAATAATTTGCAGGAAACATGACCAGACATGGTAACGTGACAAAACACTGCCCGCACATATCCTTAGTTGCCTTCTGTTTGAGCAAAACCTCTAGTATGAGAAAAGCTGTTTCTATACCTCAGGCATTTCTCTTATCCTGTTACTCTTTCATTCTTTTTTGCAGCTAAAAGATGAGGAAATCCCCAGAGCTCACTGGGGCCCCAAACACCTGTGATCATTATTTATGTATGTAAGTGAATGACTATATAAAAGTGTGTCAGCTTATTCTCCTAACTGCTACCCTACATTTCCTAAAACTGTGTGGGAAGGTCTTTATCTGATTACAAACAGCAAGCCACTTCTAAGTATCACACATTGTTTTAAACGAAGTTTAAAACTTTGTTTTAACAGTATGAAGTTTCTTAAACATTTACACACAGAGAAAATCCTGAAGAAATGTAGATCCAGAATAATTTTTTAATTAAATTTTTGCAGAAGGTGCACGAAAACAAAGATAGAAAGATAACTCCTCTCCTCTGCTAGGTGCCATTTCCCTGCCCTGAAATTTTGCCATCATACTTTTTCCATTTTAGAAGTCAAAATTCAGGAATACAGATCCAGATTAGAAGCACAAAACACTACATGGTAACACCAGATCCAGCATCAGGAAAATAATATACATTACTCAGAGAAAAGCTGCTAAATTTGGTTCCAACTTCAGAGCTAGGTCTTTGGAAAATCCCAGAATTCAGAGTAATAGGAGGTTTCCCTCCTGAAGGCCAGTTTCAATTCTCACTACGCCAGCTGGGGCAGGAAAGGGAGCCTCAGGCACAGCTAAGTGACATCAGCATCTAAGAAATCACTAAACATGTTATATTAGTAGCTTCTTAAAATTGTCAATCGTGTTCCTTTCTAAGTGGTATTAAAGCACGTCTCCTAAGAGAGCTGGCTCTTAAGATGGTGAAAGATTTTGCCGACCAGGTCTGAGACACTCGACACCCCCGGGCAGTTTGTAAGGCTGTCTCAAGTAGAATGGAAAGCAGAATGAAAAGGCACACTTTTCAGCATGTAGGAGACTTCTTCCACCTTCGTTGTATAATCAGAATGGCTCCAGAAATTTCTTAGTTAAGTGCTATCTGCTTTTCAGAGTCCTCACTCATAAGCAGGCTGCAGCAGGACACAACAACAGTGCAACACTGTTTTTTTCTACCATTTTCTCAAGAAACAAAGGCAACGGCACTGGCCACACAACACAGCTTAACAGCCAGGTGAACACCGTGAAACGCTATCACAGTTGTAAGCAGAGCCCTCTGAGTGTGGGAGCAGGCAGCTCCCCTCCATGGAGCAGAAGGGGTGCAGACCCATTGATCAGCCTCACAGACAGACAGACACCACCACCAATTCCAACCCCAAGACACTACCCGAGAGCTGCTTCTCTTGCAGCCAAAGATGGACAGCACCAGCAGATGTCCAGCCGTGGCTGTAACGGAGCGATCCACATCCTCTTGGATGGAATTCAAGCATGTCAGGTCAGGGACAGATTGCTGGCGAGGTCAAACACTCCCCAGACTGGTATGACAAAACACGTATCTAAGAGAGACTCCCACTAAATGGCAACAAGCCTTTACTTATCACTGGTGGCCCAAGAACTTTTTCTACCATTAGATTCCTCAGTTCATAGGACAACTCAAAGACAAGTTAAGATAAGCGCTGGACAACTCTTAATTAAAAAAGGACTAAGTGGTACCAACTGTCCCACAAAAAATTGCATATTTTTCCATAAAAACGAAATACACTTTTTAAGCTTCACCTACATATAGTGTAAGACTTATTATGTCCTCAGTTAAGCCATCATTTGATGCTGTCATTTTGAAGCCTACATACCTACCTTTTTGTTAGCACTGTCAAGGAACTTTTTTTTTCTTTAGATATTACCATATATCATCTTTTAACTATTTACTCATGACAATAATGTTAATGAAACATTGTATTTCTAAATTTGCTTGATCACTTAGCCTCTAGAAACTCTGGGATATTTTATTTTCTCTTTTGAAAAGAGATACAAGCAAAAAAAAAATCATTATAGACATTTCATTGGATGTAAACGATTTGAGGGAGAAGCCTTTTTTAACCTACAGTCCATATACAGAGATCAACCTGAAGTTTAAATCTGAACTTGAAAAACCCCACAAACTCTGGGATTTTAGCTGAAAATTCAGCCATGATCTGATTCAAATATTGCAGTAATTGCACACTGATAAAATAAAGCTATTGTTCTTTCTGAATGGAAACTTAAATATAGCGTTTTCTTACAAGATCACTGTTCAGAGCCAATAGCTTTCATTTCCTTTGATGCAAAGAACAGCTCTTTTACTGAAATTCTCCAGGGCTTAAATGATTCACACTTTGGGTTTTTCCCTCTGAATTGGAGCTTTAAGAAGTCAGGAAATTGGTTGCTTTTCCCATCAATAAGCAGCCCTAAAGTCAGGTGGTTAGGTAAGCAGGAAGTGGAACCGCTCTTCAAGGTAGGCATACAGAAACCCAAAAGGCCACTGTGCAAATTTCCAATGAATAATATGGCTCTGTTCATCATGTTTCAATATTAACTGGCACTAGTGTTGGCTATTCAACACCCACAGCCCAGAAAGTCTTGTTCACCTCACCAAGATTTGCTGCATGTTGCCAGAGGCACAGACTTCCACTAGACACTCAAAACTTTCATTCCTCAAACAGTAAGCTACGTTGAATTTTTTTGCCAAAATCTTGCTGCTTCTCTGCCATTGTCAGGAACAGAAAAAATTGTCAGCCACAGTTTCCTGCTATCTTGGTAGTGGGTAGCTGAAAAGCTGGTTTAGCCAGCAGCCAGGAAACGTTAAAACCACTTGCTTAGAAAGTGAAAAAAGTGCAATTGCACCAATCTAAAATTCAACGACAGAAGAATTTGGTTCTGGGTACACTGCTGAAATAGCCAGAGTTCCATAAGAGTGGAGAAGTGAATTGGAAAAGTAAAACTAAGTGCGCTCAAGAACATTGGGACAACCTAAAGAATAGAACCCTACCTTTCCGATTTGCTTAATTAAATCACAAAGGCACTTCATTCTATTTTCAAGTTTATTTTACCTTTACAAACAGTCACAATCAGAAATCTTGTTGAAAACATTAAAAAAACCAAGAAGGATCAATACAGAGCCAAGAATAAACATGGCCAACATAGAAGGAGCAGTAAGAAGTGTCTTTACTAGCCAGTATTTGGACTTCTGAGATTATTAAATCCCACAGCAAAACTGCTTACAAGGCAGAGACAGTCTTACACTTTAAGTTATCCTATTTAATCCAATCCAGTGCTTTCACCTTTCCTTGGCTGAATCTCCAGTTGACCTCAATTAAGAATCTGCACATTTCCCAGAGCAATGGAGGAAAACTCACTCTTTTTAAGCAAATCTTACATAGGAATACCTAAGGAAAAAATTATCAGTAACACAAGAATTAATAGTAAGAGGATCAAAGAAGGCAAAAATACATTGAAATTACTAATTATGTCTCACAACATCCTTTTAGGGTTGCAAAGTATCACTGTTCCCATTCTACATGAAGGGGAAGCTAAGATATAGGAATCTCAGTTGCAGTAAACACAGTAACAGAGAAGCTAGAAGATTAAAACTAGGACTATGGAGGAGTACATTACAGTGAATAAGGACAACCCTTTGGACTTCATTTTCCTTTAACAATTATTTCACCCAGTTACAAGATTCTATAATGCACACACACACAAAAAGCAAAAAAGATAGGATAACTCCTCTTGACATAATCACTGAAGAAATGTTCAGCAATAAAACCATGTCCACGAATCATAAAGTTAATCCTTCAGCACTAGTCAAGCTTGCCAAGAACTCCTCCAGGGAAGGCTTCAAGAAAAGACCAACTGGAAAGAGTTTAGAGAGAGAGAGACTAAGAGGTCTAGAAACCTCAACCTGTGAAGTAGGGTAAGAGCCTAGAGAAACCAAGGAGAGATGATAGTTTATGAATGCTTAAAAAGATGCTGAAGAGTCAATTCTTCCTCATAATCATAACAGAAAATACAAATTTTAACTAACAAAATCTCTCTCCTTCTCTGACTTGAAATGAGTCACTGGACTGGATTGCCTAGACAGGTCATGGACTCACCTCCATGAAAGTCTAACAGGTAGGTGGTTATCCAGTCTCACCAAGCCTGCCTTGGAGCACAGAGGCTATGTGACTAGCTTACCAAGGTAATCACCTGTCCCACTTCTTAGGATTCTCTGTTCAAGTGCTTTTGCAACACACATCTGTGGAGGCAATAACTTCTGCTCCACAGCTATTCTAATTTCACAGAGCCCTACTGAAAACAGCACGTCATTCAGACTTGGAATAATCCCCTCTGAGAATTTAGTAAGGTGATTAACTGAAATATCATTATTCTGTTAGGATTTAATTTAGAAGCCCTGTACTGTTTATGTTATTTGTGAGAAATCATGAAGAAACTGATGTAATGGCTGTTCTGTGAGATATTTACAACCTTTCATGTGAAGGCTGAGTCAAAACTCAGTTTTGCTCGGAGCTGATTTGGTCATAAAGGAGTCTACTCCAAGCAGCTTTCACCAGAAGGCCAAACCAGAAGGCATCCAGAGCTTTGAATCTATTATTGCAGTCACATAACACAAAAATAATTATATAAAAAAGACACGGGAGTTTTAACTAGTTGAAGCCACAGGCTAGATTCTTATTTGAAATCAGTGTCAAGTCACAGAAAGCAACCAACTCCAGCTGAAATCCTGCCCCTTTAAATTGAGGCAAAACAGTTTATTCTAGTCATGTTAGAGCACTATGAAACGGGAGGAGCACTAATCTAACATTAAAAAAAAATCCTCCATGGTACAATTTTCAGTAAGGGCAACATCTTTCAGCTGATGATCAAGTGACTGGAGCTATGCTGGTATACACCAGCAGACGCTCTGGTTCTTTTTCTTCTGGGGTGGGGAAAAAAACCATCAAGAATAAATGTTGGGCTTTTCTCTGTTTTTCACTGTCTTTTCCTACTCTACAAACTAGGTGAGAAGACAGCATTAAACCAAATGTTTCTCTAGACAGCGTGATCCTCATTTGAGCCTTTCAGAAGTCTCCCTTTTGTAATCCGGTATTCCAGATAACAAGGATTGCCGAGTTACAGAAAAGAAGGAGGATAAATGTTACTCCCTTCTTCCCCTAGTTTCCCTGGGGGAGATAAGGGGATCACAGAACTTGCATAGAAAAATCTCTGCAAGCACAAATGATGTGACCATGGCAGTCTCACACTGGCACCTCTGTGCACTGAAACTGGCCTAACCACAACCTTCTGTTGGGATTGGAGAGAGGAGTATTTAATGGATTAGAGTAATGGCCCTTTGCTGCATAACAAAGAGGGCAATTTGGCAGGAGTGAAAAGCACTGTCTGCTTGGAGAAGATTAGTAGATATGGTTCCTAGGCACAATGTGTTATTGCCTTATTCCCATAATATGACCATCAGGACATATCTTGGAAATACAGATAGCCTATGAAAGCTGCGAGTGCCCTATAGGTACTACTGTATTTCCTGTAGCACTGAAGGGATTGATGCCTTCTATGTGCATATCAATCTGTGGGAGCACTACAGAGATATGTGCAAAAGATGCAAGGGGGAATAATAACAAAAAAGGTCCCTGGTCCCAAAGTTGAAAAGAGCATCAATGAAAAAAACACCCAACCACCCAGGAAACTTGCAATAATGCAATGCAGCTGAAATGAACATCAGCCTGACTTAGCAGTTGTTCTGTTTCTAAATGCTAGGTTTGTTGAGAAGAAACAAAAGCAAAACTCCCCCCAGACCCATTCCTTATTGCTATGTATATGACGATGCTTTACGCAGCCAGGCCCTCCCTTCTTTTTTTTCAAAACCTGAGCTCAGCTCCCCATTCTCACAGCACATTGCAATTCATCTGTTTTCATTGTAGACTCTGAGGGTGGAAATAGCAAGGCTTTTCTTCTGGTGTTTTGTCTCCATGTTCTTCTTCTGGAAACTGGCAGCTGTAAGTCTCTTCTCTATGGTGTGACAGTTGCGGAGCCACCGGCAGCCTAGGGAAGTTACGTTCCAGATCTGCAGTGAGAATAAGCAAAAGCACTGCACATACAAGAAGTCTTCATACATGTCAGTTAGTTGCTTATTACCTTTACCAATACAGCCTCTCTCTCAGGAAAGGACAAAGATACAGGTGATGCACTGCATCTTAGTGAAACTAAGTAACCCGCCCAAAAATCACACAGTAAATCCATACTTATTCAACTAAATTTATTCCATTTTGACTCTGGATCAATGGAAACATTGTTCACCACTGAAAAGCAACACAGTCCACAAAGGTGCACTTACAGTCAGCTGTGTGGTATTTTTCTTTCTTCAGTGACCATATGCACAAATGCAAGAAGAAGGTCAGCAAGATGAGAACAAATACAGCCACTGCAGTAAGGATGGCCAGGATGGTGGTGTATAGAGAGTAATTTGTAGTAGGAGCTGCAATTAAATATATTTAATAAAGATTAAGAAATCATGTGCCCAAACTATTGTTAAAGGAAAGGCAGTTCTTCCCAGGAAATTGAAAGATTAATTTCTTCTTTCTGTGGAAAATAATTTTCCAAGGAAAAAAAAGAGTGTGGGTATTAACAATAAAACTGAGATGCTCCAAGTCAAGGCTGCAATAGATCACTGTCTGTGGTAAGAAGCATTCATGCAAAAAACCCACATGCCTGATCTCTTCCTTGTTCACTGTCTCTCCTTCTTGCAGCTATCACTTGTTCTATCCGCTCTGGTTTGTTTTTTGCTCTTGGGGGGGGATTTGGCTTCAATGTTTCCCTGAACAGGACTACAGCAAGCCAAATTTTCGCACTTGTGTCTGTCTCGTGGAAGTTAAAAATAACACCTTTCTGCAATTTGTCTCAGCAGAACGAACAATTTCTCTGAATGAAGGGCCCAGACCTGAAAGGTACCAATTCATTGTAGGAACAAGGGTGGGGGGAAAGGCAGGAGCAATGCAGCTTGCTGTCTTAAAAGATACTTAGTACCTGCAAAGCCTGTACCTGCTTACTCCTATCTAATTTGATCCATGATAAGACATGAGATTTCAATGCTGGGTGGTGTGGACTCAACCAATACTTGTAAAGGAACTGGATGATTAAGCTATTGTCTTCGTAAGAAAATCTAGCAAAACAGCAAGAGCAGTTTAATAGAAAACTCTGATAATTTGTCAAATAAGCGTGCTCTATTCAGGGACAATTGTTGGGCTTTTCTCTACCTTTATTACTGACAGTGCTTTAATGGTGGAATCTTTGCCCAGGCCAACAATTCTACCTATATTAATATTGTAAGAAACACAACAGCAATTTTCAAAGCAAATTTTCATGATAGCAAGCTCTGCATGATTACTATGCAACAAGTCACCAACTAAAGAAGTACAGAGAAAAGTTATAGGCTCAAAGAAACAAATCATTGAGAAGGTACCTTGCTCCAAACCTTTAGCAGAGAAACCACATACTGTATTATGTGTACTGTTGCCTTGCTTGATTGTTAGAAACCCAGAACTTTCACAGCTAAAAGAAGAATAAGAGTCACAGTTAGAATGTCCCTGCCTTTCCCTTCATTCCTCTCCATCCTTTCTCTTGGTCCCCTTTCTTCCCTCCACTCTTTCCACAACTTGTTTCCTTTTTTTCCTTTTTATAGCAGTGCAGGTAAAGTTATGGCTGCTCCCCAACAAGATAAGACTACATCACAATTGTTTACATGCACATTTTTTTTTAGTCTCTTTGTTTCAATTGATGGCCATGTTTGGAATAATTTTGCATCAGTTTGAGCTGGACTTGGAAGCAAGCCGAATACACAGTAGTTTGTCTTAACTTCTGCTTTGAGACCGACTACTTAGAAAACCAAAGGAGAGAGACATATCACATATTGCTGAATTTAAAAAACTCATCATTTAATGTCATTAGTGATCTTGCCTTAGATTCAATTTTATTTTCTAATTTACACATTAATAATTTGAGAATTTCATCATGCATAATTTCCAAAGAAGGAAAGTATCAATAAACACATACTCAGTCCAGTTACGGCACCAGCCATTCTTCGCATTAGAATAGGTTCCTATCTCACACGGTTTACATTTGAATGTGAAGTCGAAAATGCCTACACGAAAAGAGAACATCAATTATTAGTGGTCAGTGCCTTTACTGAAAGATGGAGATAGAACAATTAGAGCACAATGCACTCCCTCTACAGTCTTTCTGCATTATGAATTACCCCCCTGGAGAAACACATAAGCAGTTCTTGCCACCCTTGCATTTTGGGAAATGTATGGGTGGACCCCTTACAGAAGAGGTATAGAATAGTCTGATCTGACAGCAGAGGGTGTAAAGTTAAGAGGCAACACAGAGTAAAACAGTCTTCTACTGACAGTTCTAGCAGCTTGGAAGAAAAGCAATGCTGAAAGTCCAAGCATGAAAGTGAAGGTCTCAAATTTAGGAAGGGAAGAGTTATAAAATAGGGAAACAAGGGTTTTTGTCACAGGGGCCACAATATAAATGTCACTTCTCTCTGCAGCAAAGCCTTCCCCAGAGCAGGTTACAGTAAGTGAAGGAAACTGTTGCTCAGCCAGCTACTTGTATTAAACTCTGTCTTTTAGAGTTATTTGCATTTCTTTAGTTACCAATCTTAATCAGCTCCTCGCCCTCCGCACATTCAGGCAGTTTTTTGCAGTAGAGACATGCACTATCAATACAGCTGTATCCCTGACGACATTTGCAGTCATGGTCCTCAATATTTGGACATGCGTTGTCTCCTGTCAAGAAGAAAGAAGTTAGATTTGCCTTTGTCATAGATGCCAGAAATTAACTTAACCATTAGTCTTACTGGCTGACACAGGTGAAATAGTTCCTTACTGTGCTGTGGTGGAAAAAATGGATACCAGAAAGATGTCACTCCCATGCATACTGGGTAAAGTTTAGAGTGCTCAAATTCAGCACCACTCAGATTTTTACACCTTGGTTACCTGAGCATGACATGACTTACGACTGTAACCCTTCCCTCTTATCTGGAATACCAGTGTAGGTCATGGTAGACAGAAGTAAGGCAGCAGGCTTGCTTTACTACATTGTGCAGATTTAGACACTGTGGGGTGAGGAAGGCACTTCCAGTGCCCCAAAAAAGCATCACACATTAACTAGCCATTCAGTCAGCTCTGAGGACACTGCCAGAGCTGTTCTCAGTTAGGCTCAGCCATGTTAGAGGAGGGATGCCCAAAAGATCCTTGGCCAGTAAAGCTAGAGCTCCTTTTCCATGCCTTTCCTAACAACAGCAGCTGCTTCCTACGCTCCGTTGGCAAATGTGTGTCTAAATCCAAGCCATAAAACCAGCACCCTTCCTACCCTCTGTCCTATTTCTAGAGGAGTTCTGTTGTGAACTTTGCTTGCACTCAGAAAATATCATCTCTAATTCTGAGAGGCTCCTGGGTTCATGAAAGCAAAGGATTGATGATATATACTGATCCCATCAGTAAACAGTATCAAGCAGTCCTTCAGGCAGTTGGAGACCAGTTGGAGGAAAAGAACCTTAAATAAAAGTTATAACCTTAAAGAAAGAAAAAAATATAGAAGAAAATGCTGGCTAGTTCAATAGCGTGCTTAAAAACCCACAATGAGTAGCAAAGATCAAGCAAAGATTATTATTTGAGGTTGGTGATGGAACGTACAGGGCCACCAGGGAACTGCCCACATCTTCCTCTGCCCACTAGCCTCCTCTTACTGGCCTTCAAAACTTAATGAAGTCTGGCAGCAAAAAGGAAACAGCTTAGGGATGCTTCTTTCTGTCTATTAGTAGTGAGTGATTCTGGCATTCATCCCACCAAGCAATGACTCTCCTACCTCATGCTGAATGACTTTTATCTCAGTGGGAAGGGAAATACCCTGGGGTCTCCACACTATTGAGGACTCTATAGCTTTTCACCTATTTATTGCTCATTCCCACAAAACCCACGTGTCCACTCACTCCTTCCATAGGGAGCTCAGTGTCCTTTTTGTCCGTTAAGGCAGATATATTCAAGCTACTAACAGATGGGAGGCTGACTCCTACCTAGGCACCAACAAAAGATATAACTTCTTGGTTAATCCTGTTGCTAACCTGCAGGACAACAGCACAACCATACTAGCTAGACAAGGCTTCCAGCAGCCCTGTTTTAGGACAAACAGAAAAGGAATGTCCATTCCTTGCTGTAGGTCATACCAACAGCTGCATATTCCCTAGTGTTCAGCTCTGGCTACGGTTACAGACAGCACTAAATTAGGAAGAATAGTATGATTGCTCCTGGGACCATGGAAGAGGCCGTTAGAATCACCTGTTCTGTCTTTCAGCCTAACAGGCACAGAAATATCACTCGGTAAGTCCTGCAGCTAGCCTGTTCCACCTCTAGTGCAATTACAGGCAAGTGAAAATCCATTACCATCTCACCAGCATCCTAAGGACATAGGTTAGAACAGGCTGTTGAAACTAATGATCACCTGAGACCTTGTCTGTGCATTTACTTCTGGGACAAGCACAGGTCAGTGGAATGGAGGGATTGAAGTAGCATGCTTCCTACGCTTTAGGACCACAAATTGCAAAGAACAGCCTTACAGAGAGCATCACTCCCTGTATTCCCTCTGAAGTCTGAATAGCAGAGACAAACTTTGAAACCATGTTTGAATGGAGCAAGGGCTCAGAACCAGTGTTAAGTGAACACCTTCTTTCCTCGTGAGAAAGACCAACCCACAGAAACTTAACTTTCCTTTTCCCACTACAGAATACCAAGTACAGGCATGTAACAAATCTGAAATGTGAGTCCACCCTGAAGTTTATAGCTAAGGCACATTATGAATTTAGGGGACAGGAAGGAAGCCCTTACCATTCTGTTTTGCATATACAGTTACCCAAGATACATTTACATACATACATACACACAAACACACATGCACCTGTTCCCCACACTTGATTGCCCTGGTTGACATAAAACAATACTGACAAACAGAAAGAAGACAGACACATCATTCCCTTACCTGTGTTTGAGTGGCATTTGGGACAACATTTCTTTTCATCTTTACCGATTATTCTCAGTTCACCATCACATGGTGTTGCCAGGGTTTGCTCTGTCCATTGCCATAGGTACACCACCAGCAGCAAGCAAGCTCGAATCTTGAGGTGACCGACTTCACTTGTCTGTTCAGTCATGTCTTGAGCTATACAACCCAAAAGCACACTAGGGTGGGCTTGTATCAGAACTTCCCTGCAGAAGTACTCCTTCCCCTGACACTGGGGGAAGGCACTGTGTTTTTGTGGCTGCACTCTTCCGGTTTCTTTAGGGGTGGGGAAAAGATTTTATTTTACGTCATCAAATTCTTAAAAAAACAGGGCTAAGCAACTATGCACTAGTGACTCCATTAAGAGAGCAGCAGGTTAAGAGCAAGATGGAGCATCATGTAATTTGATTTTCAAAGGATTTTGCAAGTTGATATACAACTGAAAATTAACGCAAATTAAATTAGTGCATGAACTTCGGCGTGCATGAACTTCGGCGTGCTCAGACTCTCTTTCTGACTTAGAGTTCTTAATGAATTTAGAAACCTTCAAGGATTTAACTATCAGATTGCAATGTATAGTAAGTCCATCCACTCAGATTTTCTGATTCTGTTAATTGTTTTCAGTTTCCTTCCCCCTGGATCAGGAGACTCTTGAATTGTTTTCCAGAGCCGATGTAACTCCATATGGATACCATGAAACCAAGAGAGAGAATGGTGTCCTCCCCACAGGCTGCAAGATCAACCCTGGGACCAAAACTGAAAATAGCTGCAATGGGCTCTTTAGAGACACATACAGCTCCTCTGACCCCCACACTCCTGGAATTTAGGTAATGAAAGACAGCTGTTCAGCAAAATTGTACACAGGCACAGACATGTTGCCTGTAATCATCACCTGCTGCTAGGTTTCAATTCCAAAAAGTCTTACCTCATACAAACACCTATGCAAACTTCCATCTCTGCTCTATGTGTGGACAGCTTGCTTGCCTTCCCCCCCTCCCTTTCTATTTCCACTTCACGCTAGAGTTTGCTTCTATCCCTATAGCTTGTGGTTGCTTTTATACGTGCACAGTGAAGATAGTATTTAAAAATCCAACCTCATTCTCAACTGAACACATGAATTCTGGTGCAGAAGCAATTTTTAATGGATTCTTTCCCACACTGCATGGGGTGACAAACAGGTCAAGGCAAGGGAGTCAGATCTGTGAAGAGAGATGAGCTCCTCTAGAAAATGCCATGCTTACAGCATTTGACACTTGCCCTGTTAATTCCTTAGTTTAATACACAGCTAGTGAAGCCTGAATAAGCTTTCCACACAGACACTATCACTCTTCCTTCGGAGTGTTCTACAATTTCTTCCTGAAGATTCATCTATGGATCTACTCTTCACTTAGTCTTTGGTCCATTTAGGGATCTACCTACGTTCCTGTCGTGGGTTGGAAACAATCAGACAGGTTTGGTATGCAACAGACCCTTCTAGTTTTAAAAATGTATGCTGCAAAGCTGCTTGTACTGTTAAATGTGCTAGGTGAAACCTTTCTATCAAAAGATGACATCCAAACTAGCTGCAAGCAGGCAAAAGACACAGGTCTCTGCTGTCACTTTTTCCCACATAATGCCCCTACAAGGCCAACGGTTATGTTTCAGAAACAAAAAGCCTCCTACTTGATACTTCTGTCACACAGGAGATCCCCACCTCTTCCCACACAGCACTGCTCCTCACACTTGTCACAGCCTGTACCACTGACGTTACACTGGAAACACAGATACGATGCCTGCTGCTGCAGCTGCTGCCCAACTGGCCATGGAGAGTCCTGGACACCACAGGTCTTGGGTTCAGTCCCCCAAGTCAGGATTCCTCTCACCAGCTCTTCCAAACAGCATAACCACAATGCTTCGGCAACACAGGGACAGGGAAGGTTTACAGGTACTGGTCAGGTGCTGCCCCTGTACAGAAAACACGGTGCACTCAGCAGCATACAAAACTTTGTCTCACACTCTTCAGAACTCAGCAGAGTCTTATGATGAAGACAAGTTACGAGGCAAAGCACTTGGACACTGCAGCAATATACTCTGCAGACCAATCAGTTATGACCATGTCTGAACTGCACACAAGCCCTGACCAACTCTGAGGATATTTTTATTATCCTTTGCTCTTATAAGAATAGGCTAATAGTAAGGAGAACTTGTTTCAAAATCTTACTATGGTGTCATGGTTTAACCCCAGCTGGCAACTAAGCACTACACAGCTGCTTGCTCACTCCCCCCCGCAGTGTGATGGGGGAGAGAATCAGAAGAGATAAAAGTGAGAAAACTCATGGGCTGAGATAAAGGCTGTTGAAGAGGTAAAGCAAAACCCATGCACACAAGCAAAACAAAACAAGGAATTCATTCACCACTTCCCCTGGGCAGGCAGGTGTTCAGCCATCTCCAGGAAAGCAGGGCTCCATCACGTGTAACCGTTACTTGGGAAGACAAATGCCATCACTCCGAATGTGTCCATCCCCCCGCTTCTTTCTTCTTCCCCCAGCTTTATATGCTGAGCATGACGTCATATGATCTGGAATATCCCTTGGGTCAGTTGGGGTCAGCTATCCCGGCTGTGTACCCCCCAACTCCTTGTGCCCCCCCAGCCTGCTCGCTGGTGGGGTTATGCGAGGAGCAGAAAAGGCCTTGGCTCTGTGTAAGCACTGCTCAGCAGTAACTAAAACATCCCTGTGTTACCAACACTGTTTTCAGCACAAATCCAAAACATAGCCCCATATTAGCTACTATGAAGAAAAGTAACTTCATCCCAGCCAAAGCCAGCACATATGGTTACATTAAGAATCACCCCAAGGCATGCTGGCTGCAGTACCATTTGAAAATACTCCTCCTCACATAATAGGGCCAGGAATACGCGGAGCACAATAAGCCCCTCCACCTTACTGTGGCTGCAGCCAGAATTCCTGGGCAAAGAGCAGCCCACATCTGCCCTGATAACAAGTGCTGCTACTGCTCTTGTAAACAGCATGCTAGCCAAACTCTCCTTCCACCTTCTCCTACCCTTTGCCCCTTCCCCAGCACAGGCTGGTACAGTGTGGAAATGTGGCACCAGCAACTTTTAGAAGCTGCTCAATGTGTGCATAAAGTGATTGTGGACGGGAGGGGATACACTTTCCCATTCAGCCCAATACTTTCCCCAGCTCTGCAAGTCTTTCTCAGTGTATGTGAAAGAGGTGTTTAGTCTCAACTGAAAGAAGCAAGCAAGAACAAAAGACCCATGAAGGAAAGCCAAATTTCTTGAAATCAAGATTTCTTCATCATCCCAGCAGCACCTGACCTTTGAGGTCAGGTGCTTCCAGTTTCATTAAAAGATAGTGCGTAGGCTCCCTGCAAACATAAAAGGGCTGCAAACCCTCTTACAGTAGCTGGCAACACTGACAGAAATGGTGGGGCATTTCACAAATGGTCTTAGGAGTAACCCTGACAAACCATTCATTCATGAGGTGTGCAGAGAAAAACGTAATTCGGCAATAGGAAGAGATGGAATCAGCTCTTACAGAGAGACTTGCCCAGAGGTGCAAGCTCAGGCTCCCCAGAAACTCCCTGAGGCTTTGTTATGTGTACTTGTACCCTGGGTGGTGTCCCACTGTCAATACTGATGTGGAGGAGACAAACCCTGTCAGGACCCTGACAGCTATTCTGTTGCCAAAGCTGCAGTCCTGAGGAGTTTAGAGTCATGTAGCCTCACTTTCTGGAAGTTACACCTCAAGGCCATACCCCGGAATATCTGGCACACCAGTCACTAATAACTAACACTGTTGAATAAACAACAGGAAGAACTGTTACCTCCAGCAACAGCTGGGACGGGTAGTTTTATAACTAACAGAAAGACTCAAGTAGTAGAAGACAAGGTCTCTAAGTTAGGCACCACTTACTTCATCTTTACAAGTATAGCAGTAGCAATAGACTAGACCATGTCTATCAGAAGGGACAAACACAGCGTAGTGGTTCCAGATGGAGGAACTGGCCATTTCCCTGAAGCTCAAAGATGGGCACTAATAACTAACACTGCCTAAATACCAAATACGAACATTAATCAGACTTTTGCTCAGTGTCATAAACACAGCAATAGAGAATGGACCTCCAAATATCCTACTGAGACAACTGGCAGGTGGTACACAAGGGAACCCAAGCCTGGCAAAGGTTTCAGGCAGCTAGTTAGGGTATGTGATATCTGATATTTGCTGTTTATCAGAATAGGAACCAATAATTTATTTCCTTCTATCTTTTTTGAGAATTGTCTTTTTTCTGAATTGGTCTTTACATGTTTTCGTTCTCGTTCAAGCATTACAGTCGTGCA